CAGGGGCTGAGGCCGGACGCACTCGTGTCATGCATGAAGGCATCCTTCCTCCCCCCTCCTCCTGAGGCCCCAAGGCCGGATGAGCTGAGGCCGAACACACTCGTGTCACGCATGAATGCGTCTCCCCCCTCAACCCCAAGCCCCAGACCCACGTGGGATGAGGCTGGATGCACTCGTGCCACGCATGAGCGTGTTTCCTCCCATTCTGAAGCCTCAAACCGGGGTGGGCTGAGGCCTGACACACTCATGTCCTGCATGAGCATGGCCTTCCTCCTCCCTTTACCCTAAATCCTTCCAGGCTGAGGCCGGATGCATTCATGTCATGCATGAGCACATCTTTCCTCCCCCATCAGCCCTCCCTGCACCCTCATGTCACCCATGAGCACATCCTTCTCCCCCCCCCAGCCACAAACCCCACCAGGCTGAGACCAGCTGCACTCATGTCATGCATGAGCACATCTTTCTCCCCCCCCCATCAGCCCTCCCTGCACCCCAAACCCTGCTGGACTGAGACCGGCCGCACTCATGTCATGCATGAGCACAGCCTTCCTCCTCCCTTCACCCCAAACCCTGCTGGGCTGAGGCTGGATATGCTCATGTCACCCATGAGCACATCCTTCTCCAGTCCCCAGCCACAAACCCCATCAGGCTGAGACCGGCTGCACTCGTGTCCTGCATGAGCACAGCCTTCCTCCTTCCTTCACCCTAAAACCTTCCAGGCTGAGGCCAGATGCACTCATGTCATGCACGAGCATGTTTCCCCCCCACCCCCAAGCCACAGATCCGGGTGTGCTGAGGCCAGATGCACTCATGTCATGCATGAACATGGCCTTTGTCCTCCCTTCACCCTAAATCCTTCCAGGCTGAGGCCGGATGTGCTCATGTCATACATGAACACAGCTTTCCTCCTTGCTTAGAGACCTCCCTGCACCCCAAACCCTGCTGGGCTGAGACCAGCTGCACTCGTGCCACCCATGAGCACATCCTTCTCCCTCCCCCAGCCACAAACCCCACCAGGCTGAGACCGGCCGCACTCATGTCCTGCATGAGCACAGCCTTCCTCCTCCCTTAGAGGTCTCCCCACACCCCAAACCCTGCTGGGCTGAGGCCAGACACACTCATGTCCTGCATGAGCACATGAGCACAGCCTTCCTCCTCCCTTTACCCTAAATCCTTCCAGGCTGAGGCCGGATGCATTCATGTCATGCATGAGCACATCTTTCCTCCCCCATCAGCCCTCCCTGCACCCCAAACCCTGCTGGGCTGAGGCCGGATACGCTCATGTCACGCATGAGCACAGCCTTCCTCCGCCCTTCGCGGCCTCCCTGCACCCTAAAACCTCCCGGGCTGAGGCCGGCCGCACTCATGTCACGCATGACCACGGCCTTCCTCCTTCCTTCATGGCCTCCCTGCACCTTAAAATCTTCTGGGCTGAGGCCGGATGCACTCATGTCATGCATGAACATGTTCCCCCCCACCCCCAAGCCACAGATCCAGGTGGGCTGAGGCCAGACACACTCGTATCCTGCACGAGCACAGCCCTCCTCCTCCCTTAGAGATCCTCCTGCACCCCAAACCCTGCTGGGCTGAGGCCGGCCACACTCATATCACACATGAGCACACCTCTCTCCCTCCCCCAGCCACAAACCCCACCGGGCTGAGACCGGCCGCACTCATGTCACCCATGAGCACATCCTTCTCCCTCCCCCAGCCACAAACCCCACCAGGCTGAGACCAGCTGCACTCATGTCATGCATGAGCACATCTTTCTCCCCCCCCCATCAGCCCTCCCTGCACCCCAAACCCTGCTGGACTGAGACCGGCCGCACTCATGTCATGCATGAGCACAGCCTTCCTCCTCCCTTCACCCCAAACCCTGCTGGGCTGAGGCTGGATATGCTCATGTCACCCATGAGCACATCCTTCTCCAGTCCCCAGCCACAAACCCCATCAGGCTGAGACCGGCTGCACTCGTGTCCTGCATGAGCACAGCCTTCCTCCTTCCTTCACCCTAAAACCTTCCAGGCTGAGGCCAGATGCACTCATGTCATGCACGAGCATGTTTCCCCCCCACCCCCAAGCCACAGATCCGGGTGTGCTGAGGCCAGATGCACTCATGTCATGCATGAACATGGCCTTTGTCCTCCCTTCACCCTAAATCCTTCCAGGCTGAGGCCGGATGTGCTCATGTCATACATGAACACAGCTTTCCTCCTTGCTTAGAGACCTCCCTGCACCCCAAACCCTGCTGGGCTGAGACCAGCTGCACTCGTGCCACCCATGAGCACATCCTTCTCCCTCCCCCAGCCACAAACCCCACCAGGCTGAGACCGGCCGCACTCATGTCCTGCATGAGCACAGCCTTCCTCCTCCCTTAGAGGTCTCCCCACACCCCAAACCCTGCTGGGCTGAGGCCAGACACACTCATGTCCTGCATGAGCACATGAGCACAGCCTTCCTCCTCCCTTTACCCTAAATCCTTCCAGGCTGAGGCCGGATGCATTCATGTCATGCATGAGCACATCTTTCCTCCCCCATCAGCCCTCCCTGCACCCCAAACCCTGCTGGGCTGAGGCCGGATACGCTCATGTCACGCATGAGCACAGCCTTCCTCCGCCCTTCGCGGCCTCCCTGCACCCTAAAACCTCCCGGGCTGAGGCCGGCCGCACTCATGTCACGCATGACCACGGCCTTCCTCCTTCCTTCATGGCCTCCCTGCACCTTAAAATCTTCTGGGCTGAGGCCGGATGCACTCATGTCATGCATGAACATGTTTCCCCCCACCCCCAAGCCACAGATCCAGGTGGGCTGAGGCCAGACACACTCGTATCCTGCACGAGCACAGCCCTCCTCCTCCCTTAGAGATCCTCCTGCACCCCAAACCCTGCTGGGCTGAGGCCGGCCACACTCATATCACACATGAGCACACCTCTCTCCCTCCCCCAGCCACAAACCCCACCGGGCTGAGACCGGCCGCACTCATGTCACCCATGAGCACATCCTTCTCCCTCCCCCAGCCACAAACCCCACCAGGCTGAGACCAGCTGCACTCATGTCATGCATGAGCACATCTTTCTCCCCCCCCCATCAGCCCTCCCTGCACCCCAAACCCTGCTGGACTGAGACCGGCCGCACTCATGTCATGCATGAGCACAGCCTTCCTCCTCCCTTCACCCCAAACCCTGCTGGGCTGAGGCTGGATATGCTCATGTCACCCATGAGCACATCCTTCTCCAGTCCCCAGCCACAAACCCCATCAGGCTGAGACCGGCTGCACTCGTGTCCTGCATGAGCACAGCCTTCCTCCTTCCTTCACCCTAAAACCTTCCAGGCTGAGGCCAGATGCACTCATGTCATGCACGAGCATGTTTCCCCCCCACCCCCAAGCCACAGATCCGGGTGTGCTGAGGCCAGATGCACTCATGTCATGCATGAACATGGCCTTTGTCCTCCCTTCACCCTAAATCCTTCCAGGCTGAGGCCGGATGTGCTCATGTCATACATGAACACAGCTTTCCTCCTTGCTTAGAGACCTCCCTGCACCCCAAACCCTGCTGGGCTGAGACCAGCTGCACTCGTGCCACCCATGAGCACATCCTTCTCCCTCCCCCAGCCACAAACCCCACCAGGCTGAGACCGGCCGCACTCATGTCCTGCATGAGCACAGCCTTCCTCCTCCCTTAGAGGTCTCCCCACACCCCAAACCCTGCTGGGCTGAGGCCAGACACACTCATGTCCTGCATGAGCACATGAGCACAGCCTTCCTCCTCCCTTTACCCTAAATCCTTCCAGGCTGAGGCCGGATGCATTCATGTCATGCATGAGCACATCTTTCCTCCCCCATCAGCCCTCCCTGCACCCCAAACCCTGCTGGGCTGAGGCCGGATACGCTCATGTCACGCATGAGCACAGCCTTCCTCCGCCCTTCGCGGCCTCCCTGCACCCTAAAACCTCCCGGGCTGAGGCCGGCCGCACTCATGTCACGCATGACCACGGCCTTCCTCCTTCCTTCATGGCCTCCCTGCACCTTAAAATCTTCTGGGCTGAGGCCGGATGCACTCATGTCATGCATGAACATGTTCCCCCCCACCCCCAAGCCACAGATCCAGGTGGGCTGAGGCCAGACACACTCGTATCCTGCACGAGCACAGCCCTCCTCCTCCCTTAGAGATCCTCCTGCACCCCAAACCCTGCTGGGCTGAGGCCGGCCACACTCATATCACACATGAGCACACCTCTCTCCCTCCCCCAGCCACAAACCCCACCGGGCTGAGACCGGCCGCACTCATGTCACCCATGAGCACATCCTTCTCCCTCCCCCAGCCACAAACCCCACCAGGCTGAGACCAGCTGCACTCATGTCATGCATGAGCACATCTTTCTCCCCCCCCCATCAGCCCTCCCTGCACCCCAAACCCTGCTGGACTGAGACCGGCCGCACTCATGTCATGCATGAGCACAGCCTTCCTCCTCCCTTCACCCCAAACCCTGCTGGGCTGAGGCTGGATATGCTCATGTCACCCATGAGCACATCCTTCTCCAGTCCCCAGCCACAAACCCCATCAGGCTGAGACCGGCTGCACTCGTGTCCTGCATGAGCACAGCCTTCCTCCTTCCTTCACCCTAAAACCTTCCAGGCTGAGGCCAGATGCACTCATGTCATGCACGAGCATGTTTCCCCCCCACCCCCAAGCCACAGATCCGGGTGTGCTGAGGCCAGATGCACTCATGTCATGCATGAACATGGCCTTTGTCCTCCCTTCACCCTAAATCCTTCCAGGCTGAGGCCGGATGTGCTCATGTCATACATGAACACAGCTTTCCTCCTTGCTTAGAGACCTCCCTGCACCCCAAACCCTGCTGGGCTGAGACCAGCTGCACTCGTGCCACCCATGAGCACATCCTTCTCCCTCCCCCAGCCACAAACCCCACCAGGCTGAGACCGGCCGCACTCATGTCCTGCATGAGCACAGCCTTCCTCCTCCCTTAGAGGTCTCCCCACACCCCAAACCCTGCTGGGCTGAGGCCAGACACACTCATGTCCTGCATGAGCACATGAGCACAGCCTTCCTCCTCCCTTTACCCTAAATCCTTCCAGGCTGAGGCCGGATGCATTCATGTCATGCATGAGCACATCTTTCCTCCCCCATCAGCCCTCCCTGCACCCCAAACCCTGCTGGGCTGAGGCCGGATACGCTCATGTCACGCATGAGCACAGCCTTCCTCCGCCCTTCGCGGCCTCCCTGCACCCTAAAACCTCCCGGGCTGAGGCCGGCCGCACTCATGTCACGCATGACCACGGCCTTCCTCCTTCCTTCATGGCCTCCCTGCACCTTAAAATCTTCTGGGCTGAGGCCGGATGCACTCATGTCATGCATGAACATGTTCCCCCCCACCCCCAAGCCACAGATCCAGGTGGGCTGAGGCCAGACACACTCGTATCCTGCACGAGCACAGCCCTCCTCCTCCCTTAGAGATCCTCCTGCACCCCAAACCCTGCTGGGCTGAGGCCGGCCACACTCATATCACACATGAGCACACCTCTCTCCCTCCCCCAGCCACAAACCCCACCGGGCTGAGACCGGCCGCACTCATGTCACCCATGAGCACATCCTTCTCCCTCCCCCAGCCACAAACCCCACCAGGCTGAGACCAGCTGCACTCATGTCATGCATGAGCACATCTTTCTCCCCCCCCCATCAGCCCTCCCTGCACCCCAAACCCTGCTGGACTGAGACCGGCCGCACTCATGTCATGCATGAGCACAGCCTTCCTCCTCCCTTCACCCCAAACCCTGCTGGGCTGAGGCTGGATATGCTCATGTCACCCATGAGCACATCCTTCTCCAGTCCCCAGCCACAAACCCCATCAGGCTGAGACCGGCTGCACTCGTGTCCTGCATGAGCACAGCCTTCCTCCTTCCTTCACCCTAAAACCTTCCAGGCTGAGGCCAGATGCACTCATGTCATGCACGAGCATGTTTCCCCCCCACCCCCAAGCCACAGATCCGGGTGTGCTGAGGCCAGATGCACTCATGTCATGCATGAACATGGCCTTTGTCCTCCCTTCACCCTAAATCCTTCCAGGCTGAGGCCGGATGTGCTCATGTCATACATGAACACAGCTTTCCTCCTTGCTTAGAGACCTCCCTGCACCCCAAACCCTGCTGGGCTGAGACCAGCTGCACTCGTGCCACCCATGAGCACATCCTTCTCCCTCCCCCAGCCACAAACCCCACCAGGCTGAGACCGGCCGCACTCATGTCCTGCATGAGCACAGCCTTCCTCCTCCCTTAGAGGTCTCCCCACACCCCAAACCCTGCTGGGCTGAGGCCAGACACACTCATGTCCTGCATGAGCACATGAGCACAGCCTTCCTCCTCCCTTTACCCTAAATCCTTCCAGGCTGAGGCCGGATGCATTCATGTCATGCATGAGCACATCTTTCCTCCCCCATCAGCCCTCCCTGCACCCCAAACCCTGCTGGGCTGAGGCCGGATACGCTCATGTCACGCATGAGCACAGCCTTCCTCCGCCCTTCGCGGCCTCCCTGCACCCTAAAACCTCCCGGGCTGAGGCCGGCCGCACTCATGTCACGCATGACCACGGCCTTCCTCCTTCCTTCATGGCCTCCCTGCACCTTAAAATCTTCTGGGCTGAGGCCGGATGCACTCATGTCATGCATGAACATGTTCCCCCCCACCCCCAAGCCACAGATCCAGGTGGGCTGAGGCCAGACACACTCGTATCCTGCACGAGCACAGCCCTCCTCCTCCCTTAGAGATCCTCCTGCACCCCAAACCCTGCTGGGCTGAGGCCGGCCACACTCATATCACACATGAGCACACCTCTCTCCCTCCCCCAGCCACAAACCCCACCGGGCTGAGACCGGCCGCACTCATGTCACCCATGAGCACATCCTTCTCCCTCCCCCAGCCACAAACCCCACCAGGCTGAGGCCGGCCACACTCATGTCATGCATGAGCACAGCCTTCCTCCTCCCTTCACCCCAAACCCTGCTGGGCTGAGGCCAGACACACTCATGTCCTGCATGAGCACGGCCTTCCTCCTCCCTTAGAGGTCTCCCTGCACCCCAAACCCTGCTGGGCTGAGGCCGGCCGCACTCATATCATGCATGAGCACAGCCTTCCTCCTCCCCTTACCCTAAATCCTTCCAGGCTGAGGCTGGATGTGCTCATGCCACCCATGAGCACATCCTTCTCCCCTCCCAGCCACAAACCCCATCAGGCTGAGACCGGCCACACTCATGCCACCCATGAGCACATCTTTCTCCCTCCCCCAGCCCCAAACCCCACCAGGCTGAGACCAGCTGCACTCATGTCATGCATGAGCACAGCCTTCCTCCTCCCCTTACCCTAAATCCTTCCAGGCTGAGGCTGGATGTGCTCATGCCACCCATGAGCACATCCTTCTCCCC